CTCCTACGTAACCTTGTCGATAAGGCGATTGAAATTCTTACTGGGCTACTTTGCAGGTGCTGATTGAGTGGCGTACTGCCAAGGTGCTCTCATCACTAAGCCAGGTAAACCTCCATATGTAGACAACTTGCGTCGAATTTCACACGCGTTGTGTCTAAGCAAGGTTGCCGAACATGCCATTCATAATCAGGTCACGGAGTACCTAGCGTTTTGCACACAGGATGCCCTTCTCATTCAGTGGGCCATTTTGGATAATCATACGTGTGATGTCAAGGGGATTTTGGCGTTGGATCTTGCTAAGGCGTTTGATACGGTTGCTCATGAGCACATCCTGAGACAAATCTCGTGTATGAGTTTGGGATGTAAATTATATCGCTTCACGCCATCTTTTCTTGTGGGGCGTGAAGCGATAAAACGTCTTAGATTTGGCTCAGTCTTGAGTGACAAGTACGAGTTAAGAGAGAGGGGCGCGCCGCAAGGGTCAGTCTTGTCACTTTTGCTCTTCAATATTGCTCTGCACAGGCTGTCCGAACTGCTAGCTGGAGTGCCTGGCGTTTGGCATGCTATTTATGTAGACAATATTACCGTGTGGTGCACGGGCGGCTCTCTGGCCACACTTCAAGAATCCCTGCAGGAGGCGCTGGACGTCACCGAGCGCTTTATAGGGAGTACGAGCCTCGCCCTCTCTCTGAAAAAGTCGAAGCTTCTACTTTTTCGGAAAACGCACCAGGACAAGCGGAATATCGTGCCTTTCAATTCCCTTCTGGTGAAGCTGCGGTCTCGAGATAAGACGATAGTTCCGAGAGTAGATTCTATGAAGATCCTGCAGTCTGAAAAATTCAATCTAGCAATAAAGTCATGACATATCCACAAAGTTAATGTTGACGAGTGGGCGAAGTAGTAACATCGTTTGGTGCTACCTTAAGGGGGGACGCGGGTCTCAGAATGGTGAAAAATGGCCAAAAAGTTGATTTTGAGAAAATGCAATATTTGAAATTTTCAGACCTATAAGCACGTGTCCTCAAATTGTGAACGCTGAATTCGATCAGTAAATAAATTAAAATTGATTATGAAGTCGCTACGGGAGCCGCAAAACAACCCACGGCAGGTCAAATTCGTTCAAACTTCCTGCACGCGCCGCCGGCGAGGCAGTCGGCCGATCGCCGCCATCTTGGGCTTGTTTTGAAGCTGATTCCTTTGTGCACATTTTGCCATCCTTCAAAATGGCGTCGCTTAAACAGAACGGCTGCCCTCACCCTTTTCCGGAGCCCTCTTCCAGGCCACTGATTGGCTGGAGCGCGCGCGCACCAGGCGAGCCCCCTGTTCCTCGCTTCCCATTGGCTGATGCGGCTAAAGTTGCCCGCGCTTTTTTTTTGTATATTGTTCGTCGGCCGCCGGTTCCCATTCGCGCACGTTGTTCGTCTGCTTCCCGCACGTGCCTGCTTGTGCTACGTGACAGACGCACCGACTTTCCGTCTTTTGCCGTCATGATTGGAGACGCTCGTCTAAAGAAGAAGACTCGCCAAGCGTACGGCAAGAAACGGAGGCACCCGTAGAACGCCCGCCAAAAGAAAGCAGCCGACAACGTGCAGCCGATTTCGCCCGATGCCGCTGGAGCGGCGCATTCCGACGACGGCGCGCAGCCGCGGCCGCTTGTGTCCGAAGCGGTGCACTCTCCTGTGCCTTGCAGCAGCACCTCATCGAATTGTGTCGTCGTCGGATCGTCATCTTGCACCTCCAGCAGCATCCTAGACCGCATTGACACGGCGTTTTATTCGGCGGACGAGTTTGCTGAGTGCGCGATAAATGATGCTTGAAGGCATCACTCGCATCGCAGTGCACGACGGAACGTAAGTTCGAGTTACTAGATATTGATCTGGAGGATGGTGGCAAAGAAAACAGGACAGAATTTGTTATTGTTTATCTGGCGGCGATACGCTCGTTATTTGGGCTTGTCGCGTGCCCAGAATGCGATGGAAGAAGCGTCACTATTTCAATAGCCAAGAAAGAGTATGGGCTGTGTTCGAAGCTCATAGTCACGTGCGGCAGTTGTGACTTTTGCGAAGAGCGTTTTTCGTTCCCACGTATAGCCGACGAGACCGACGCCAAAATAAGGCCGTTTGAAGTTAATATGCGTGCCATGAAGGCCATCAACAGTATTGGCAAAGGGGCAACGTCTCTGTCGGACTTCTTCGCCGGGATGAATATTTCGCATCGAGGGCTTCATCACAAGAGTTACCGAAGCCACATGACTATGATGAAAGAAGCCTGCTGTGCGAGTGCTGCCGAGTGCGAATCGGCGAGCATTGCTCGCGTCAAGGAGCTTTATGCGGAGTTCGGCAACGCGCCCAGAAACGTCATTTATGACGGCACCTGGCTTACACGTGGACATAGCTCGCACATATGTGTTGGCTGCATTGTTAAGATGTATAGTGGCCTCGTGATAGACCATATCGTGCTATCGAACTTTTGCCTGGCTTGCACCACAGGACCCAAGGAAGGAGAGGCAGGACATTCTGCCTGGCTCATTCAGCATGCCCCTCTGTGCCAGAAGAATGTTGATTGTAATGCTGGCCAGATGGAAGTGGAGGCAGCACTATGCTTGTTTGAGCGGTCACTTGAAAAGCACAAGCTTCGTTATACGACAATGCTGTTGGATGGCGACAGCAGGACATTCCATGCACTCACAAAAAAAGAGGTGTACGGCTTCATAAAGGTGGCCAAAAAGGACTGCATAAATTATGTACACAAGCGTATGGGAGCTGCCTTACGTACCCTTGTAGAGAAAAAAAAAAGCTCAAGGTGGCTCACTTGGCGGAAAGGGCAGACTTACGCAACAAAAGATAAAGAAGATCACCTCATACTATGGCTACACATTGAGAAGCCACAGAAACGATGTTCCAGGTATGCAGAAGGCTGTTCTAGCAACTTTGAACCACATGTCTTCAACTGACGAGGCACCAAAGCATGACCTTTGCCCTGAAGGCCCTGAATCCTGGTGCAAATTTCAGAGAGCTCTTGCGAAAAAAGAGAAGCCGTTACGGCACAAGGACAGCCTGCCTGATTTCGTAACTGAAGCATTGGAGCCTGTGTTTAGGCGGCTGAGCGACAATGCCCTCTTGGAAAGGTGCAGCGATGGGATCACCCAGAACCCAAGTGAGAGCCTGCACGCTATGATTTGACAGCAGGCCCCCAAAACTCAGCATGCATCTTGCGGAGCATTGAAAGGGCAGTTGCCCAAGCCATCAGCTGCTTCAACCAAGGCACAACCAAGAGCAACGTGGAAATTGCCGAGAAGCTGGGCTACAGCGCTGGCAATAACTTGGTGCATCGCAGCCTTGAGAAGGACAAGGGCAGGCTACAAAAATCGTGAAGAGAGCATCTCAACAGCAGTTCAATAAAGGAAAGACTTCCAAAGCGTCACAAGCCAGCAGGGGACTGTGCTTACAGCCCAGGTCTGCTGTAAACAGTCATGATGGCAAATAGTGAGAATTTTTGCAAAAACAAATATTCTTGGTTTTAGATGTAAACATTGTGTAAATCTATTGTCTATCGAAGGACAACATTATTACATGATTTTTTTGTGTTCCTTTCACTTGCAAGGCACTGGAATGACCACAAAGTAAAAAAATAATAATTCTCATGCTGAGTCAATGACTATTTTATAGTTCTAGAACAAAGCTGTGAGCAGTATTCTGGGTGGGTACAGTGAAATTTAGCATGGCCATTTACCCTATAATATAGAGCTACAGAATGATGTCATTAATACCACTGTAGCTTCTCTTTAACAAAAGTTAAAGTTGCTAGAAACTTCAAACGCGTTTTTCTCAGTTTGATGTTTTTGCACATTGCACTCGGCCTTACGGGGGTTTTTCCTATGTTAAACTTGAGTGAATGCTACAAAGTTGGTATCATTGTATTCGTCTTGACATGATCTAGGGGGTGATGCTATTTCTATTTCTTTAGCATCACTTCAAAACTTACCATTGAAGATTTTAGTGAGATAAATTTATTGTAATATAGTGACCATAAGTGTTCGTCCGTTTTCTTGCTTATAAAATGCCTTCAAATCGATAACAATAGCATCACCCGCTACAGCAAGTCTCCTTCATTGGGATTAATTATGCATTCGCTTTTTGGATTTAGCAAGAATAAATTGCCAAGAAGTCCCGTAAGAAGTACGCAATTAATTAAGACTCAGACCTTCATAGTTTATAAACCACTTTGAACATTAAGAAACAAATTACAGTTTTGAAATCAGCATGAAAAACTAGCTTAGGTAGTGAAGTTTGGTTAAGATTGAGCAAAAAATTAAAAAAAAAATTTTAGAACCCACGTTCCCCCTTAAATCACCCGTGACATTGACCATTCGCGCATGTAATTGAGTGACAAAGGGGTGTACAGTCACATACAAACAAGGTTTATTGGTCATAAATGGTACATTGTGCTGAGTTGTGAATAACCTTTTTTTTTCATTATTACTGCTTTGTGGTATTGGATCTAGCCTGAAGTTGGCAAAAAGGAGGTCTGCACACGTTCCCCTCGTGGTTGTTTCTAGTCCTACGAAATGCATTGCAGAGCACATTGAGAAGTGATATACTGCACAAACCAGTCATTGACCGTGATCATCATCACCATCATCTTCATCAGCGTCATTGTCATGGGGTGTAGTGGGCACCTTGCATGTGCTGTGCCATTACAGCAGAAAGAGAATGTGTGCTCTCGAATGCGCCTGTTCTTTGTTATCAATGTTATCAACAGAGGTGGCTACGGCGCAATAAGGCTAACGCCGACCCCAACGCCAACGGACAAGCCTTGACTTTAAAGTTCTTCAGCTCTAAAACACATTTTTCGAATGTACAGGAGTGCATGAAAAAATCACTCTCAAAAGGTATTTTAAATTCGTGTCGAAGTGAATTTTGTTACTGTTATATTTGTTTGAATATTCTAATAGCTTGAATATTCGCACATGCCTTTGCTCTGGTTGTTGCGTGGTGCAGGCACGTGTGCTGCCAGGGGAGCGCACCCTACGGCTGCACTACGCAAACTGCAAGTGCTACAATGCCGACTTTGACGGCGACGAGATGAATGCGCACCTGCCCCAGAGTCCCCTGGCACAGGCCGAGGCCTCCGAGGTAGCCAGCGTCAACCGGCAGTACCTGGTGCCCAAGGACGGCACACCGCTCAGCGGCCTCATCCAAGACCACGTCATTGGGGGATCCCTGCTCACCATGCAGGGACGCTTCTTCACCAGGTGGGCACAGTGCCAGTTGGGCCCTGCAAAATGTGCTGCTAAGCGCGGTGGGAAAATGCGAGAATGTTAGGTTTTCATATCTCCCGAGAATACGCAAGCCGAACGTTGTAGCACGGGCAGTCACCGAGAAATCGCTCCCTTTTCTTTTGACAAAGTATGCCATATACTGAAGTTACTATGTTTATGGTGGTTGGCTGACTTGAGCATCATGGGCTGCATAATTACCGTGACTGCTGCGAGATGCTGCCACGTGCTTGCGTGCACGCTGGCAAGCACACAGTAAGACGTGCACGTGTTCATAGAAAAGAAAAAAAAAACTTGTAAAATATATCCCGCTAAAGAGAATGATGTGTAGATGCGAAGCAGCGGGCGCTGACGTTTACACTGGCGGTGACGTTGACGCTGGCGCTCATCACACAAAATCCGAGTAAAGAAACCCGTGACTACATATACGGGGTGGCCAGTGAACGATTGTGTAGCATGAGCATTTGGTTTTTTACTCGCAGATGCTGCCTGCGTTGGCCTTGCAAGGCGAGAGAGGGGGAGGGGAGCGACAGTTTTGCGGGTGTCTTCCTGGCCCGGCGCGAGACACAAGCATGTGCGTCTCGGCACGAGGTGCGAGCATGCGGCACGAGATGCGAGACACGTGCATGTGCAGTGGGTGTGTACGGAGTGACAGCATTTCACTGGCTAGTCAAAGAGCTGCTTCGCATCTAAAAAAGGAGAGTGAGTGCTCAAGGTCATGATGCGTGCTGACGAAAGGGCGCAATTACATACTTCTTGTCATTCCTATGTCTTTCAGCACAGTCACTGCCACGAAAGGAGGGAGAGACAGTGCTTGATGTGCATAACGAATTCCTGTAACTCCGCTCGTAACTGACACTATCTAAAAGATTTTGCAGCATGGAATTCCAAGTCCAATTCAAATCCAAATCCAAATTTTATTTTCGCATTGCCGAAACACCAATACAGTAGTGCAATGTTTATGTGAAAATAGGAGATCAGAGAAAAAGCTGCACGTGTGCAGCTTGACTTGGCTCCGGTCCCCTGGTACAGCTGTGACGGTACGAAACATATCGGTATCGAAAATATTATTGTCCGCAATGTTGTAACGTAAGAACAAGAATAGCAAACATCAAAACAGATTAACAGCAAAAGGAACTGCGTATGATAAAAAAAAAACTGCAAGAGAAATAAACTACTGCTAAAAATTACTAAGGAATCCGAAGTTGCACCATACATTCATATAAAGACAAACATTACAAAAAGAGATCCAGCAAGCTTTTGTTAGTACTGTTTAAAATCTTAACATTTTTTGGTATAGTTCATTTAGGGTGATAACCTACACCAGGTCTCCAAGTTATAACAAAATGTACTACCCTTCCGTGTTTAGGTCTCCAAATTGTGGGAATTAAGGCTAGCCCACTGCCTTTGTGCCGGCTTTGCCGCCTCTCCTGCCGTTCTCATGTCCCGACATGACTCCCTTCCTCTGCTGTCTGCCACGCTGGGGAACTCCTCTCACCCAGTTGCGGATGTTGACTGTGGCGCTGTGCGTGGGTTCTCTCGGGACGTTTCACCCGAGCGCGTCGGGAGTAAGTCAGATTCTTGCGGCACAGCTGAGGGTGAGCACACGTTCTCTTTTCCGTCCGTCGACTCCCATTGTTTAGGGCTCGTCGGACTTCGTCAACGGCGCCTCGCGCTCATGGCGAACGCTCACCTGCCCCTTTGTGAACGCTAGGCCGAAGAGCGGTGTGGTGTCCTAGTTAGTGCGGGGCTAGGCTACGCCGACCCGTATCTGTCCGAAGCCAATGCGAGTGCCTTTGCCTTTCTTTGCTCGAGCAATCGGGCCTTTTTCCCGGTGTCCCGATGGATCACTTCCACCACAGAGATGTGCTTGCAACACCCCTGTGTAGTACTTTTCGCTTGTGGCGTGGATAAGCCCATTTGCTTTCCCGCCCCTCCTTTGCAGCGGGCTCTGCACTGCGTTTTTGGTGTTGCTCCAGACAATAAAGTATTGCGAGCTTGAGCAGTACCGTGTTCTTGCCACGGCAATGGTTAACATGTGCCCTGCGGCTCGCTATGACCGGACCCTCGCTAGTGGCCGTACTTCTTTGGGATACGTATACACTACACTGGCGCCCAACGCGGTATCAAAAGCTTACAGCTTTTGATACCGCGTTGCTTTTGTTTGTTTACGGTGTTTTGTTTACAGCTTTTGATTGCTGTTAGCGACTCAGTTCGCCTGCGCGATTCGGACTCGTTGCAACATGTCTGATTCGCAGGATTTTGGTTCGCTGTCCTTTTTAGCCGATGCCGCGTGGCACAAGGAAGCCATTGCCTCTATTGACGGGAACCCTTCGGCACCCGTTCGTGTCGCCACGGCCTATTGCGGTGAAGATACGAGGCGCCTGTCCGCCCCTTTGGAGATGGTGCGTCGTTTCCTAATGGGTTTCTTGCCCTACCCGAACGCTACGCACAAGCGCCTCGGACTGCTAATGCGTCCTTCAGCATGCATGGCAGTTCGTCGGCACAGCGCTCGCAGTCGGTTCCCTGTGGAATTGACGGGGCGTAGGCTTTGGCCCTTGTCGAATTTATGCCCGCTGTCAGCCGGGCAACCGACACTTCGAACGCACGCTGAGCAGACACTTGAATGGTCGATGGTAGTCGCACCAAGTGCGTATTATGTTTGACAGCAGGCAAATCTCTCAAAGAGCCTTTTTTGCTCTGGGAGTGGCGTGCAGGGCAGTGCTCCGTTTGAAACCGCCCCACTGATCGAGTTGGGAGACTGCTCACCTTCGCTCGACCGTGCCGCTAACGCACCAACGACTTCCTGCGAAGCCGGTGCGATGACGCAGACGTTGCTGCGAAACCCTGTGAAGGTGATCCAAGAACTTTCGGGAGCTGTGCAAAGGCTTTTGGTTAGTCTGAAAAGTTACCTTGCTGTTATGTTGCCTGTGCCAACCTACAGCAGATACGGGGATCAGCTCGCCGCCCGAGATTACCTCGACTCTTTGTCACGTTATCAGAGAGCAATGGGTTAGGATGATCAGGTGGTGCTCAAACGTGTTGTTCCAGCTGCACTGACTGACACGGCGGTGAGATAGTATCGGCTTACCGGTTACCCGTGCAGCAACCCTCGAGGAGTTTCGTGCGGACTTTTTGCGCGAATTTCTACCCGCTCACTACAAAAGTAGGATGGGGCGAGAACTCGTGCTCCACACACAAGCTCCTGACGAGTCTTTGCAGGAGTATGTACGTGCGATGGATGAACTTTTTTCTATTGCTGAGCCCCGAGCCACAAACGAACGGGTGATACAGCAGGCACATGCGACTTTTCCGGCATAGCTTTGCGGCGGCCGCCTCCGCGATTTGGAGGAGTTGCCCGCCTAGGCAAAGCACATTCAACGTGACCTTTTCGCCACACGTGCCTATCGCCCGCTGCCGCCATCCAGTGATGTCCTTAAGCCGCCCTGCGCTTGGAGAGGGGCCATGACCCTTCACCAACGAACAGCCTCTAGGCGCCGCCTTTGCGGCTGCACCCAGTTGTGCGTGGGCGTTGAGCGATTGCGCCCTTGATTTCTATATGCATAAAAGGCTGAACCTCCCCACAGGGACGCTTTCTAACCCAACGTACTGCGACGATCACAGAAACGTATCCTGCGATAACGTAGCGAGCTGATCACGACAGCTAGAGACTACTCTGTCTGTGAAAACGGACCATGATGGATTGCGCTGTGACGGCTGCCGTGAACGAGGGCACATAGCAAGGGAGTGCACCGGATCCAGGCCTCCTGCGAGGCAGGGAAACGGGTTTGCGGGTTGTTCGTGAAGGCACGAGCGACTGACCCTTTGCTTCTTTTCTCTGCTTGCAGGGCAAGCACTTTTCTTGCTGATGCGCACACGCCATTCATTCCAGTCAATATTGCTGGCTGCGAATTTTCGGCGTTGCTGGACACGGGTGCTAGCTCCTCGTTGTTCGGCAAACAGGTGTTCTCCCACTTGCTGAACTTGCTGAAACAGGTGTTCTCCCACATTCATTCTTGAGAAAGGCGTGGCCCATTCGGCAGGGGCTGCAAGGATGACTGTCAGATGGGGAGATCGTATGAGACGCTGCCGTCTTGTTCATCTTCCAGGGCTCAATGTTCCAGTGATTCTCGGTCGGGACTTTTTCCTTAAAACCGGGATCGTTGCGGACATTGCAAATGGCGGCCATCGTGATGGCCCATTTTAACAACTCAAGCTATTCATCAGCCCGCCGGTGCTTGCAGTTGCCTTTGCCACAGAAGGGTCGGAAACTTGCCCTGCGCAGAGTTCGGGGCCAAGCCCCTTCTCTACTCATTCATCCTCTCATAGTCCCCTTCAGGAACGAGACGCATGGCACGAACCATGTCACGCGCAAGCTTCCGGGTCGTACCCTGGCGTTACTTGCTCATTGGCCCTAAACCCCAGTTTGGATTGACCGACATGACATGAAGAGGCACTACATTCTTTAGTCGCCTGCGCGACTCAGTTAGATGGTAACGCCTCTCGACACCATTGTGTCAGTACGACGAGCTCTTCACCATCAACTGTGCTGCACCGATTTTGTGAGCCACGGGATCGAAACTGGGGACACGCTTCCTTTGAAGTGTAACCCCAAGCTCGTCAGTCTCACCAAAAGGTAGATTATTGACGTGTTGCTAGTTGACATGTTTGTGGCTGGCATTACTCATCGCTCGTCTAGTTCCTGGCTGTCTTCAATTGTGCTGGTGCTTAAGAAAGATAGCAATCATCGCCTTTGTGTAGACTATCGCTGTCTGAATGGAGTGACTCGTAAGGATGCCTATCCGCACCCCACGATAAACTCCATCGTAGGTAACCTGGGTGATGCACGGTACTTCACCATGCTTGAGGCCTCTAAAGGTTACCTACAGGTCCAGACGGTATGACCAGTGCAAAACTGCGTTCAAGTCCTACAGAGGGTTGTTCAAGTTTACTCGTAGGCCCTTTGGTCTTTGCAT